AGGGGACGGGGGCGCGGACCAGCAGCTCGTCCAGGTCGGCCAGCGCCATCAGGAGGTGCTCACGTGTGGCTCGCTGCCCGTCAGGCCGGCGCCAGAATTCCTGGGTGGGGGTGGGGGAGCTGGGCTTTCTGTGCTGCTCCGGTGGGCTCCCAGGCAGGGGCCGTGAGGTGCGGAAGCGGGGTGAGGTGCAGGGCTGGGGGCACTTAAGCCAGGCTGGAATCAGGGCTACAGGGGGAGGCCAGACGCGGTGTGGCCCATGCCCCTCACCTCGCGGAGAATGACCTCGTAGCTCTTCCTCTCGGGGCCTTGCGGTGCAGGCTGGGAGGCCACCAGCATGATGTTGTTGCCCTGGGGAGACACGGCGGGATTGGGGGTTCTCAGGGACTGGGTCCTCCACCGTCAGACCCTAACCACATCCTCCCACTTCCTCCCAGCACTGGACCTCTGTCTGGGCAGTGCCCAAGCCCTAGCCGTGCCGGGACAAAGGGTGCTGGCTTAGAGGCCAGAACAGCTGCGTGTGTCCTGGCTCCCACCTTCCCCTCTGCCCTCTGGGTGCAGAGTGCAAATGCTCACCGTGATCTGGACGTCGGGGTCAGAGAGCGGGCTGCCCTGGGGCCCAGCCCTGTAGGAGAGGGTGTACCGCAGCTTCCCGCCATAGGCTGCCACCTGCAAGGATGAAAGCCCTGTGGTCACAGGCCAGCTCTGTCCTCCCGGGAGTGTGTGTGTCTGACCATACAGCGAGGGGCGGAGCCTCTGGAGGCCTTTCTGCACCTGTGCTGTCCCCCTAGGAAACAGGACATTGCCGAGGCCCTCCACAGCCTCGGGCGGGTGGGGACGACGCTATGTGGCCAGGTTTCTGTGTTCCGGTTTCCCATTCTCTGCTGTGTGACAGTCCCAGCAAAAAAAACCCTCCAAGTTCTTTTCTTTAATTTTGAAGCCGCTGGGTCTGGGAGTTGAACCACAGTGGTCATGTGGGATCCAAACACCTTAGCTACCACCCCACTGACTGGCCCTAAGTCTCTTCATCTACAGGATTTCCCTGGGGCTGAGGGTGGCTTCTCGGAGGCCTCCTCTTCTGGGCAGGCGATTATGGTTTGCTCAGGATCCATTTCCCTTTCTCTGCAAACCACATCCAGGTGTTCCTGAAGGAATAACTCCCTAAATGCAGGCCATGTGGTTTGAGGGGCCAGTGCCCCTCCTCCTCCACAGGGGTGACGTGAGCCAGGCCTGGCCAATCTGCAAGTCCTACCCCTCCCTTCTCTCCTGCCAGGGATGAACGAGCGAGCCTGGCACTTCACTTACTACTGGGACAGAGAAACCTTGCTCTAGTCAGAGAAGCTGGAGAATGACGCCACCTACGATGGAGCCCCAGTGAGCCCCTGGATCCAGCCGTGCCTGACCCTTGGACTCTGCAGCAGCATGTGCCAATGGAGTCTCGGCTGAGCGGAGCCTGCTGGACTTGGGATTTCTATTGCTCGCAACAGGAAGGGTCCGTAGACCTGCTGCAGAGGCTTCGTGTGGGCAGCTGCGGCCCTCCTGCCCTACGGCTTGCCTTTCTTTCTGTCCTCTGCCACCAGGGCAGATGTTCAACTCAGCCCACTCCGCTGGCCTGGCCCTCTCGGGTATTCGTGCGGTCCTCCAGCTGGGGGGCACTTAGACACCTACTGACTGTGTGCCAGGCCCCAGGACACGCAGGCCCCGAGACACACTCCGCAGCTTAGGCCGTGGTGAGGAACATGTGGGCATAACCAGGTGACCATGGGACAATCGGGTCCCTTTGTTTTGGATGCCAGATGCTCAGAGCCGTGTCTAGGGCCAGCGTTCCAGCATGTGCAGGTGAGTGCAGCACAGTGACCACAGCCGCAGTCCGCACTTGCTGGGCTCTACTTCTCCTCTACCGCTGGCCAGCTGTGGCCAAGCCCTGACCCTCTCCGAGCCCCACAGATGGAAGCGAGAGTACAAAGCACACCTGTGAACGGCACCGCGAGGACTAGGTCACACGGGGCCGCGAACACGCCGCAGAGCCGATGACTGCTTTCCTTCCGGCCCGCCCTCGGTTCGAGCAGACCTCTCCTTGCCCTCCCCACCCTGGCCAACGGCCTCACCCACTTCTCTGGTTACTTCGTTGAAAATAACAAGTATTCCCAGAGGCATTGTCTTCATCGGGAGAAAAGGAGCGCTGGCACAAATGCCGGTGCCGGTGCCAGTAGTGGCGACATTGCCCGAGGTCAGGAATGACGACTGGGCTAGCACGCGCTCCGGAAGGCCAGGGGCCCTCCTGCCTGTGCCCGGCGCAGCACACGGTCAGGCCTCCACGCCTCATGAATGCATGAGCACCCTTCTAAGAACCGGGCTGGCCACCCACACTCAGCGCAATGGGCACCCAGAGAAGAGGCGCTGGGGAAACCCTCCCAGCTGAGATAGCCCCTCTGCCAGGGGCTGGCTGGGGCCTGGGGCCGGGGCTAGCTGGAGGGGAAGAGCTGGGACAATCTCGGCTGAGCGTTGACCTGAGGGTGGGACCCTGGGCAAGGTCCTTTCCTGCTGTGAGCCCTGGTCCCAGCCGTGTCACAAACGGCTTTGACAAAGCCCTCTAATATATCTTTACTCTTCTCTTCCCTAGTTTTGCTACAGTGTGTGTACTTGCCAGAGACAGAGAGAGAGAGAGAAGGAGAGAGAGAGAGAGAGAGAAAAGCGAGAAAGCTCACCCCAGGGGAGGTGGCCACACAGCAATCCCGTCTCCATTCTCCTGTAGGGATTTTGGGCACGCACACACAGGCACACACACGCACGCACACACACGCACCTGGCGCATTTTTTAAGCCACCAGGACGTGAACCAGCTGGCCATGAGGGACCCGGCCTCCTTAGCCACACCACCGGCTGGCCCAATACTCTGATATTCCAGGACTCTGTGAGACCCCTGTGGCCCCAGTTGTTACCTTGTTCCCCAGGAAGGCCCGGGGCAGCTGCCAATAATAGAGGCTTCCAGGAAGCAGAGAGAAGCCGTCGTAGGTGAGAGAGGACTAGGACAGAAGGACAGGCAGTGAGAGCAATGGGGCGTCGGGGCCGGGCGGCACAGGTGGTCCTGACAGAGGCCGGAGGCCGGGGAGCAGGGTGGAGGGACAGAGCCCCAGCCCCTCCTGCAGCTCAGGTCAGCCCTATTCTGTGGACAGCCTGCCTGCCCACCCCCCAACCCAGGCTGGACACCCTGGCTGCTCTCTGGGTATGACCGCATCAGCCCCTCCTCCCATCCAGACCTGAGATTTACAGGGTGCGGCAGCAAACATTTAAACATTCAGGGGCTATTTTCATGCGTATTTAAGAACCTATAACCAGTATGTCTGAGCTGGAATACGATTAAAGAAAAACCTGAAGCAGATTTTCAGAAAGTGCACAGAAATGATGAAGCTGGCTCAAAGTGAGGGGAGTCTAGAAAGCAGGGCAGCGGGGGCCCTGGGGGTGCCTTGGCACATACCTGAGCGCCTGCGGGGGAAGACAGAGAGGCTGAGGAGAGGGGGGAGTAGCCGGGGGCTGCTCGCAGAGCAGCTGCAGGCTGGGGGCGGGGGGAGGGCCCTCGGGGAGGAGGGAGGGGATGCGCAGCAAAGCTGGAAAGGAGCTGCCAGATCTCAGCATCCATCCGCCTCTGGGCCTCGTCCACCTGAGGGTGGGAGAGGAAGGAGGAAGGACGGCGGGAAGGGAGAGGAGCAGAGAGGGAGGGAAGACCTGAGAGCCCCGCCTTCCCCCAGGGCGTGCCCAAGCCCAGCCAGCCTCCCAGGTCCGCTCTATCTGTCACGATGCCTAAGCCCGACAGCCTGGCCCTGCTGCCCCCTCCAGCTCGCTCCTCGTGGGCCAGGCGGGCCATCCTGGGATGTGCTGTGGCCTGTGACTGATGGGGAGCATCCCTGCAGATGGTGTCCACCAAGGGAGGAGCAGATGGCCGAGGCCACAAGTGCTGGAGGCTTCTGGGCAGGGCAGACTGCTCCCTGAGCCTGCCTCTCCATGTGTCCCCGTGCCCCTGGCCCGGAACATTCCCCAAGGGCAACACTGGAGTAGGCTGGGGGCTGGACTGGCAAGGGGGAAGATGGCCAGGAGGGCCAGGGCTCTGCCTCGACTAAGCTCTCTAGTCTCCCCGAGGCCCCGGACGAGCCTGACCTATGCAGGTTACCTGCGATAACCGCGGATCCCGGCCCCTGCCCTCTGGGGGCCCCAGGGTCCTCCCCGCTGTCATAGCTGTCCGCAGCTGCTCCTCTGAGAGGGATGTGCGGTTCTGAGGGGGTGAGGGCACAGGCCAGCTCGGATCATCAGGGTCCAAAGCTAGAGCTACGGGCAGCGTCCTTTACCCCTGGACGCAGTGGCCAGAAAGGCTCGCACTGACGGGAGAAGGATGCATGCTCCCTCCCCAGGCTGGCAACCAGGATGGGCTCCAGGCTGCTGGAAGGGCACATGCACACAGAGGGCTAACGGGGCCTGCCTGTGACGCAGGGCCTGGGGAACCCGGAGGCCCAGGAAAGTTGTGCAGACTGGCATCGAGTTAGTCATCCTGCCACCTCGGTCACCAGCCTGACCTCGGATGGTTGGCACCCACAACAGAGCACACAGCAGGTGAGGAGGTAAGGCCCCACTGCCAGGGTTCGTGCAAATCCACGACTCTTCAGATGCTGGACCTCTCCCCGCACAAGGCTCAGGCCACACCCGAGAACACACTGTCATGCCACTCACGTCACAGGCCTACCTGGTGAGCCCAGCGCAGTCGTGCAAAGTACGCCTCCCACTGCGGGGTTGGGGAAGGCCAGGGTACAGAGAGTCTGAGAGCAGGAGAGCCAGGAGAGGAGGAACCCCAGAGGGAGAAGGGACAGAAAGGCAGCCAGCCCTGGGAGAGACCTGGGGTACCTGGCTCTGCCCAGGGAACAGGGATGGGGCAGCCTCAGGGGTCTCCCAGCAGCCCCCTCCCTGCCTACTGGCCCTTTGGCCCTGGGGGTACATCTTAAGCACTGAACTCAGCTAGCAGGGCACCCCTGTACCAAGACCTCCCCCTGGACATCATGACACAGCGGTGGTCACTCGAGGAACACACTGAGGTGGGTTGCCCCAGAGGCCGTCCCGAGGCCTCCCCACGGCACCATCACCATCGCCTTCCCCAGACCACAGTACAGACCAGCAGTCGCCTCCGACAGCAAAGCATTTTAAGTGAAGCCCTGCCCTGAGACTGAACCCGGTACTGCCCCTGCTCGCTGCTGGACTCTATGTAAGGGACCTGACCGCTCACGGGTCTCCTCATTCGTGACAGCTGGCTCACAGAGCTGGGGTCTGTGACATGCAGGGGCTTGGAGCAATGACCACACACAGCTAGAGCCCAGTGCCTGCACCCTGGAGTAGGAGCGATCGCCCCAGCCCAGGCGGGACCCAGCAGTGTAGGTGCGCGTAAATGAACGGTGAGCAAAGAAGGCTGGCAGTGGGGCCTTGTTGGTCCCCGCCCAGGGCCTGTCTGTGGGATGACCATGTGAAAGCGAGCCACCACCAGCAGCTCAGCACTCGCTGTATGCCAGCCCAACCCCGTCCTCTCAGCGCCCTGGAGCCGGTCAGCAGCTCAGCTCGGGATGAGTTCGCTGGCTAAATAGGTCCCCTAAGGCCTCACCCTAACAGCAACAGGGCAGATGCCTGCCGGCCGGTGGCCACCTGCCAGCTGACCCTGCTCAGTGTCACTGCTGCACGGCCTAGTGGCCCGGAGGCTTTGCTGTCCCCACTGCATGTCACACCTTGTCTCCCTGGTATGTCTCAGGCAGCTGCCAGTAGAAGGATTCATGGCCGAGGTGGGCAAAGTTGCCAAAAGACAGCTGGGCACCCTCAGGCACGGGCTCCACGGTGAAGCCTCCTGTCAGGTGGCTGTTCCGCTGTGGGTTCACCAGGGCGAAGCCTTGGAAGTCCCCGGGGGCAAAGTGGGTGGAGATCTGGGAACAGGAGGACAGGGTGTCAGCATGGGCACTGGAGCTAGCACCCTGGTGGCGTACGGGGCATAGGCGGGCGACAGGGCAGAGTACCAGGGCCCGCCAACATCAGGGCTGGGGAGAAACAGCGGGGGACGGGAGGGCTGTGGGGCGAGCAGGGAGGTGTGCGCTCAGGGCTGAGAGCACATCAGGGCATGGGGAGGGTACGTGGGCAGAGGTTAGGGCTGATCGGAGCTGGGACAGGCAACAATGGGGACATGCAGCTGCCACGGAGATAACGGGGCCCAGCCCGTGAGGACCAGGGAGTGCGGGCAGCGGCCCCGGGGCTGGGCGGCTCAGGCTCCTACCCGGTGGCGCGTGTAGGAGGAGCTGGCGCACTGCTGAGTGATGCCCATGCAGAAGCAGGGCAGGCAGCCGTCGGGGTTGCTGGCGCTCAGGTGGAAGTGATGGGGCCGGCAGTGGCTGCAGGTGAGGCCTTCCACCTGGGCCTGGGTGGACGGATGGAGAGATGCGTGCAGGGAACGTGGGTGGGTCTCCTGCACCCCGGCACCTGAGGCCAGCCTTTTACCCAATTCCGGCAGTTCTGAGCAGTCTTGCCCCAACCCACGCCCAGGCCCCAGCTCCAGTCAGATGTTCCGCTCGGCCCGGGACCTCACGGTGGGCAGGGGTCAGACTGACCTTGCACTGGCACTGGCCAGCAGCATCGCACTGGCTGCCCATGCTGCCCTGGGGGTCACAGCCGGAGCCCATTGGCTCTGGCCCCTGGTCGCCTCCCTGGGGTGGACGAAGGCC